AGAAAATAGAAATGTATAAGGAACTCATAAAAAATATAAATAAACTAATGAAAGTAGCTCGAATCGATATGAATAATATGAAAATAATCATATTCATTCACATGATTATTAAAACAATCATCATATTCATCCACATGATTATTAAAACACTCATTAAACATACAACACTTAGAGATCACAATCGAAATCTCCAATCCACTTTAGTGATCGTACTCCTCATAAATTAAAACATTCAAGATCATAATCATAAAGAAATCTAACTCCTAAAATTACTGAATCACCTCCTCCCCCTTAAATTGTTTACATTAACAAAATGCATAACAAATTTGATATCAAACCTTAATTTGATGATAGATAAATGTAATATTTCAATCATTTTCTAGTAAAAAATTAATGTATGGAGATTCCTAAAATTAAGACAGAGGTAGATATTTTGGTAAAAGTCCTTCACCTTAATAATTAGTATACTCTTCTCAAACTAGTGGAGGTCTATCATATAGATAATATCCTGGATAAGTAATTCATCATTAAGTGGACAAACATAAATAGAATATTTCACCTAAGAAATTACCTGCTTATTTACAGAATGTGGAATCTAAAATTAAACCTTTGGTTGATTAAGATAAACTTTAATATAGAGAGATATAAAAAGATCGTGAAAATAATAATAATAATAATAATAATAATAAATAAGATGGAACTATAAAAAAAGTTAATAATAATTCAATACAATAATAGAATAGTGCTGAAACAGATACATTTTTTGATATTCAATAATATATTTAGGATTAGAAAAAATACTAATTTTCTCCAGTTTAGGAAATGAATGATGATGGAAGAAATGAAGATGATGAAGGAAGTGACACTTTCTCAAATTTCAGTCCACCTAATGAAGAAGTAAAAGAATTCTTTCAGCAAGAATATCTATAATAACGTAGATGATATAAGATTATTGAATTTCTAATTATTTTTTTATTCATTAATTAGTTGCTCTAGATAATACATCGTAAAATTAATCCTTAGTCACATATCCTTAACTAATATCATTATTTATATATATTTCTACCTTGGATTTTTGCTATTTGCTTCTTAAATCATTAATTTTAATTCATCATCTGACATTGTCTCTCCTAATTCAAGAGCTACTTTTTTTAAATTTTCAAAAGTAATGAAATTATCATTACCCTAAGAAAATAAATGAAAAGCTCTTTCTATTTCTTCTTGAGATTCCTTTGCATTCTAAAGTTTATTGATTAAAATTTAATGTATACCATTTTCTCTGTCATAATTTAAAGAAACTCATTAAAATCAATAGTATTTTTATTTTCCTTTGAATCATTGTTATTATTGAGGTTTTATTTAAGGTTTTAAATTTCTTCTTTGCCAGGTTCAAAGCCTAAAGCTCTTAGTGCAACTTTTAATTCTTTCTCATCAATAGTACCTATAAGGAATAAAATAATTATAAAAACCTGATCCATCTACATCAAATAAGTCAAAAGCTTCTTTAATATCTTTCTTTTACTTTTCACTAAGTTCTTAACGGAATGAATGACCTGCTTTTGCTTTCCGTTATCCTTTTTTTGCTTTTCCTTACATTTAATTTGTTATAATAAATAAGATGTTAATATAAAATATATAATAAATAAGTTCAACTAATAATCAATTTTTACAAATTATATATGGTTCTAATTAATGTTAAAATGAATCTTTTAGGAACTCAGAAATTCTATTTCTTGTTTAATAAACAATCTCCAAACTTATAATCAATAATATAAATATGGCAGAATTACCAAAATCTTATTTAGGAGCTTAAGTTATAGAATCAGGAAAACCATTATAAATCAATGAAATACAAATTCCTGAATTATAATAGGGAGAAGTATTAATAAAAGTAGAGGCAGCACCAATAGATTAACTTGATCTTGTAAGTGCAGGAGCTGAAAATTACTTAAATAAACAAGTTCCTTTTGTATTGGGAGCAGAAGGTTCAGGTATAATTGTAGCTAAACAGTATATCATATTATTAATACAAGTGAATCTGTATAGAATCTAGAAATAGGATAGAAGGTATCATTTCTAACTCTTTCTAAATTTGGTGCCTATGGATAATATTCAGTAGCTAATATTTCATTTGTTTTACCACTACCTGAAAATTTAAGTTTTGAACAAGGAGCTTCTGCAATTGGAAATCCAGTCACAGTGATGTTAATGTTAGAAGAAGCAAAAGAATAGAAAGCCAAAGCTGTTATAAATACAGCTGCAGCCTCAGCTTTAGGAAGATAGTTTGTTAGATACTTTTAGAGTAATGGAATTGAAGTAATCAATATCATTAGAAGAAAAGAATAAGAAAATACATTAAAATAAGATGGAGCTAAATATATTCTCAATTCATCAGATCCAAATTTTTTAAAAGATCTTGAATAATTAATAACTGAATTAAAGTATTAAATAAAGATATCAATTTTAGGGTCACCTTATTTTTTGATGCAATTGGAGGAGAAATCACAGGGAAAATCTTTAAATTACTTCCAAGTGGATCAATCACATATATTTATGGAATGCTCTCTGGTACTAATTTTGAAATTGATGGAAAAGAAATACTTACAAGAGGAAAGATCATAAAAAATTTTAGTCTTTTATCAACAAAACACCCATTTAATCCTTTTTCACATCAAGAGGCATTGTCAAGACTTCATGAACTTTTATAAAGTCAATTATAGACTCATTATCATAAATAATATTCATTGAATTAAATCAATGAAGCATTAGAAGATTAAAAATAAAATGGTTCAATAGGAAAAGTTTTAATAAGACCAAATAAATGAATAGGATTCTGATTAATTTTATTGCATATCATAATTTAATATTAATAATTAGTTATATAATATTATCTTAAATTAACTTGATATTTCAAATATCACAATATTAATTTTGTTTAAATATAGGTAATTTCTTCAAAAGGATTTTTGTTAAAATATTTTTCCAAATATAAACATAATCATAATTCTCTTTTATAAATATACTATTTTACATATTCTTTTTTTTTTATTAAATTAATTATTATATATATAAGATTAATATAAGAAAAATCATAATTCACCAAGTTATTATATCTTTCTAGGTCTTGATTTTGGAACTGGTCTCTCTATTACTTTAACTTCTTGCTCTTCTTTTTGTTCCATTGTACTTTAAATTCCTAAAATTTTTCTTTCTAGAGCTCTCAGAAATAATGAACTTAATTTTCCTGGAGCCTACTTTATTTTTAAACTTTATTCAATTTATGATATTTTTGATTAAGACACTGTGTCGAAATTATTTGAAAACGATAATTATTCAGATTCTAATTTATCTCTTGTAAGAATTTAATCTATAAGATCATTTTCTATTTATTTAGATGGAACAGCAGGTTAATGAACAAAAACTTAATATATTGGTGTATTATTATTCTTATCTATGCTTTCTCGTTTAATCTCAATAAATTAATCTTCTTTTTATGTTTAATTTCCCTCTTATTCAGGGATAGGGCAACTTTTTTCAATACTTTTCTCTTATTCTATTATTTATAAGTCAATAGTTGGTAGATTTACTTCTGAATTCACAACTTGAAATAAAGGAGTTTTATTTAAATTATCAATTTATTCATCCTTATTGACTTTACTGTTATCTTCAGCATGATCTCTAACATTTTCTATTATTTCCTCTTCATAAATTTTGCTTATTCTTGAGTTTATTTCTTATATGCTTTTTCTATATGGAACTCCATTCATTAATCCAAGAGATGATTATTCATGTCTTCTCTAACTACAACATTCTTAACCCATCTCTAAATATTTTAATTAAATTTATTAATAATTATAAGATTTTACCAAATATAATCATAATATGGAAGAAATCATTCCTAAATATTGTTAAGTATTATTAAAATACTAAAATAAACAAATATTACATCCTAATCTATTTGATATAAATATTTATTATAATTTTAATCCTTAATAATAGGAAATAGTATAATAGTTAGTTTATCTTAACATAAATTAGAAATTCAGGTTTAATTAATAATATAACATAATTAATAATTTTCAAAATCTACTTTAATTATAATATTCTGTATTATAGATAAAGAGGAAAAACATAGAATAAGCATGGTGTGTATTTAAACAATAATAAATGAGGTCATTTTTAATTCAAAATATCTCTATGTCAATGATAAGTTTAATATGTATTACCACTAAATAATACAATTAATTAAACATTTTTGATAGAAACAAACTAATTACTTTAGACTTGCATTATAATTTTATTATCTATGACTTAAAACTTACATATGAGTATAAATATGGTGTGTATTTTTACTAGTATTTTATTTTAACACTAAAATATTTTTTAATATGTTCCCAATGATATTGTAATGATGATCATATATACTTGATTTTTAGGATATTCAGGATTTAGGTCTCAGTTTTAAAAATATTTATTAAATGAGGGAATAAATTTATTTTAAATTCTAAATTTTAATATTCAAAAGTAATTGAAACTTTTGTTTTTCAGCCACTCATCTTAGATAAATCTAATTTAAAATAAAGATAAAATTTATAGGAAATTACTAAATATTCAATTGATTGAATTGATTTAAGAGAAAAACAATTTATATAATATTATTCAATTTGATTTTTTGTATATTAATTAAATATAATCAATTTAAAATATACATTTTTGGGCTGAATTTATAACAATTTAATCTCCTTTAGATTGTAAAATTATCGTCTTTATCGTTTTAATAATAGATTTTTAATACTATAATATGGCCTTTCAAAATTATAATATGTATATTTTAATATCATTATTATGGTTGCATGTTTGGGTAACTTGAAGTTTAAGTTTACAAGATATAAGAAGTATTTATTTTATTTAAAAAGTGCTTCTAATAAATTAATATTTGATTAATAATGTTTAATATAATTTAATATTTTAAATAATAAATAACTATTATATCATATTAAATGAATAAAATAATTGATATCGGAAAGGATTATAAATAAAGAAAATTTCTAGAGAAACCTACGAGATAAGAAGATAAACATGATTCTTTTTAGTAAAATTAATAGACTTTTGAAATACCTGAATGTGCAATTTGTTGTGAATAAATGATTTAAGATTTATCAACATTAGTGCCTTGTGGTCATATTTTTCATCAAAGATGTATAAAACATTATTCAAAACTTGAATGTCCAATCTGTAGAAAACAAAATAAATAATCAATCCCAATACATTTTTCAATAGAATTAAATTAAAATAAAAGTTTAGAAATTAAATAGAATAAATTAATAAAAAATTAATAATTTGCAAACTAAAAAACTTAAAATTAAGATTCAATTAATAATTAGGTTTGGGAACTAATTTGTTAAGGAAAACATCATTTTGATTATCTTTATTCCTAAAATCTGTTTTTTAAGTAAAATAATCGAAATGAAATTTAATTACTTAAATCTTTTGAGAATGTTCTCAAAGAATTATACAATAATCATAGAGATATTAATAATTAAATTGAGAGCTAAGCTTATTTAAGTAATTAAATTAGTAAAAGTTCAACTCCAATTTAAAAACAAAAACATTAAACACCAACTAAAATTGCAGAAAAAGCATTTTAACCTAGTGCTTCTGGTGTACAATTTCCCGATTGGAAAAAGGTGATTGATATAGGAGATAAAAAGAATTTTAATATTCGTTATTGTAATAAACCTACTAGTAATCTAAATAGAAATTCTTATAGAAGCAATAGTTATAATAAATAATAATAATGATTTTAATGATATTTAAATATAATCAATATTATTATCATATTTATATTGTAAATGGAACAACATAAATAATATTGCAAAATCTCAAAATAGGATAGAAAATAAATTATACACGAAGTTCTTGTAAATAAAAGATTAATACTAGAAGTATATCTATTTATATATTATAGGTGGCAAGAGAATTCAAAGTATTACCCTCAACCTGTAAATCTATTATTAATACATATATTAAAGAAGGTAGAATTGGAAAAAAAGAGAGAAGAATTAGAAAACTGAAAAAAGTAACTGCAATTTATACAATAACATTAAACCCATTAAATCCACTTTCATCAACGATATTTACTGAATGTGAAATTGCTGAAGTAGAATAACCGTCTCTATAAAGTAATGTTTAATAACAAGAGCTTCCTTAGAAAAAACCTTATGATTTCCTAAGCTAATGGACTGAAAACTATATTCAAGATTACAAAAAGTACAAGTTTGGTTCAAAATATCATTGAAACTTGATTATATTAATAATATAACACATATAGTAAATTCTAAAAAAGTTCTCAATATTTTTATTTTTGTAACAAGTTCATTTTTTTATCAAATTCTTCTTTCAATTAATTCTTCTTTTTTTCTACCATTACTCTTATTTCTCTTTCTTATTATTATAATAACTATTTCTCCCTTCTAATATAATATAAATTAAATAATTTTACATCATTTAATCTAATTTATTCATTTTATATTCTGTCATTGATTTTTTCATATTCAAATTCTATTCAAACCTTGCTTTTGCATAATCAGCATTTGATAATCCATTTTCTAATAATGCTTTTTAAGAAAATAATTTATTATTTAATTTCCTTTCATTTTCTATTTATATTTATTAAGATAATGAATCCTTTTAATTCAATTTATTCATAGTTTTATAAATTCTTTCATTTAATATATCTTAAGCTTTCTTATAATTTGAATCATTCAATTCTTATTTAATTTAAAAATTCATAGATTTTTCAAGTTATTTTATATTCTTTTCACTTTATAATTATGATAAATATTATTCTTTACGTGTTTATTAATAATTAAAATAATCTATCTTATCTTAATGAATTAAGTTTGCCTTTGCTATAGCTTAATCAACAGAATCTCTTAAATGAAGACTTCTTAAATTAGCTTACTCTTCTCTTTTAATTTTAGCATCCTGTAATATCTATTAATGTCTTTATTCTTAATTCTATAATCTCTATTCAAGACTCTGAATATTAATTTCTTAATTACTTTATTCTTCATTGTTAATGATTCATCATATTTTTCTCTTATTGTTGATAATTCTAATTACTTTAATCTAGCTTAAAATTCATGTTCTTATTTCTTTTACTATCTTTAACCAAGTATAATTGATTCTTTCTGTTTCATTCTAAATTCTTTCTCTTTGTTTTTTTCATTTACTTCATTTTGTAATTCTAGATATTTTATAAATTATGATAGTTCTTTGTCCTACTTAATTAATTGTCTTGAGTAATTTTATTCCTCTATTTTTAACATATAATATATATATATTATATAATTAATAATCAAATTTTATTAAATAATTCTTTTAATGTACCTTCTTTATGCATTTCCATCATTATATCACATCCACCAACTAATTCTTATTTTACATACTATATTTTATATATTATTAAATTAATACTAATTATGGGAATGTAGGCCAGTTTGAATATTTCTTTATCTCTTCTCTCATCAAAGGATCAGATAGAATATCAACAGAATGATAATTTTATACTTTGTAAAATTAAAGTACTTAAACAGCATAATTAGAATATCCACACATTGGTTAAGTTGGAGTTCCCTTCATGAATAATACAACTTAATTAGATTTTATGATCTACAAAATATTTCTATTAATTTACATTATCAATTTCTTTATGTTTTTATTAGATCTATTCTTATGTATATTATGGTTAAGCCTTTTGTTAAGCTTAAAAATCTGGATGAGAATGATTATGATCATGATTATGATCATGATTATGATTATGATTATGTTAAGAGAATGGAGCTAACATTCTTGTAGTAAAGTATAATTAAGGCATTTTCATTATCTACTTTGATATTCTTTTAATCATTCTTAAATTAAATATTCTTAATATTTTATAAATATCAGTATGATCTTGTATAATTATTTTCAAGATTACTATGATTATTCATAGTTAATAAAATAAAATATTAATGAGATGAAGAATAAAAGATTAAAATAAGTTTATATAATATATTTATTAAGCTTTTGTCATTCAAACTAATTATTTATACTGTTCGATTCTAGATTTCTATAATGATATTTATATTTATACTAAATATTGTATTGAAAGATCTTGCTATTTAAATAGGCTTTCTCCTTAAGATATTGCTTTTTATTTCTATTTTTTTTCTTCAATTAATTAATTCATAACAGTTTAAATTTCTACTCTTAATATAAGAATATATTAATTTACTCTAGATTCTTTTATTCCTTAATGTTTTAAGCATCAGCATCATCTAATAAAGAATCAACTAGATTATTAATAGTCTACATCTTAGGACAAGGAACAGAGCATGATCGAATATGAAAAAATTTATGAGTAGTTTTAGTTTTATGTTTCTCTTTAATCATTTCCGCAGCAGTAATACATTATTGAATAAGTTAATAAGTAGGATTATTACAAATGTGCAGAGATTAATGAGTATTAATAAAACTTTATGTATGTCTCCCTTACTTTCTAATCAATTTAATAGGAGATGGCTATAAATCTTTAGTAACTATCATATGCTATGATTTGCAAACTGATTTGTACTAACTATTTAGATTTTTGAGTTATAATTCAGGGTTTACTGAATGTCTTTTTTTAATTTGCATAAGTTAATGTTATATTATTTTCTAATAAATTTATTTTCAAGATCTTTTGCCTCCGATTCCTTCCCATAATGCCTACATATTCAATTTCCATTCACCACTGATATCAAATTCTCTCATCAAATAATATTATTCTTATAATGTCAAATTAAAGCCTAATTCTTACAATCCAGCAGCTAGTTCTTCAAACTCAATCTGTCCTTTTAATTGTTTATCTAGTTTCCTAATAGAATTAATTAAAACATCAAAATTACTTCATTATATCTAATAAGAAAGAATCAAAATTAGGATAATTATCTGCAAACATCCTTAACTTTGCAATTATTTATTTTATATCTGCTTCTTTAAATACATCAGGCTTCTACTTCATATAATTAATTGTAAACTCATCAGCTCTCATCAATTAAAATTTATAAACATTAAATTGCACAATAGCTCCTAATTAGAAATCCTTAATTAATCACTATAAAATAATACTTTTTCAGTGTAATAATCATTAGTTAATGGATTTTTCTATCTAGATCTTTCCTAGAATTTGCCTCCCTTAAAATTATATAATAAAATTACCCAAATTCCACTATTTCTCTCTGATGTTAAATAAACTTAAATTGTATCATCTCCACAATAAAATGATATTATAAATCTTCTTTAATTCTCTTCTCTAACTTCACTAATTAATCTTGATTCAAATCTTAAAATAAATTAATCTTAAGTAAAATTCTTCCTTACATCCTTCTTTGGAGGTTTAGGTTAAAGAGAATAAACTGAACCCAAAGAGTCTTCTTCATATCCATATCCATTATAAGGAGGTACTGGCTAATAAAACTTCTTTCCTCTCTCCTATTTTAATGTGGCTGGTCTATTTACTTTTATTTTTATTATTACTTTTATTAAATTCCTAAAACTTTTAAATAGTATTCTTTAGTAAAATCATCACATCCATAAATAAAACAATCTCTTCCATAAATTTTAACTTAATTTCCACAAATAAGATCTAATGGACCATAAAACTCTTCCTTTTTTAATGTCATTCCTGGATAATGAGTAAGAATAGGTTATTTTGGTATTTTTTATCTTCTCAACATAAGTGGATAAGGATCTTTCCCTGAATTTGGTTTTCTAACTTCCTTTACTTCACATGTTTCATCTGCTAAATAATAATTTAGTGTATAATAATTTAATTAGCCTTCTATAGAAGCATCATCCCAAATAATGTCAAAGGATAATACTTTTCTATCATTACTGAGATATTTATTCAATCCTCCATTTGGATGTCCTCCTCCTAATTTAACTTCAAAGTATTCCTTATACTCTTTAGTATCAGGTGGATTGATTTTCAAGTCTTTTGTTTCTTTTTAAGCTTGAAAATTATCTCTTGGTAATTATTCAGGTAATTATAAGGGTTTGCCCATATATTCATAAAACTCTCTTGTATATGTATCACAATCACAAATTCGATATACCTAATTTAATTTATTTTGAAATCATACTCTATCATAGAAATTGATGTTTGAACATAATTAGAGATCTTCCCATGTATAAAAATCTTATTTTCCAAGCTTCTTTGGTATCTTCTATCTTTTAATAAAGAGTCCTTAAGGAATGCCTGAATTTTATACACGAGGCTACAGTTATTTAAATTATTACTTCGGTAACATGGATTGTTCCATCAGAAAGGTAATAATAGATAATAACTTATCTAATTCTATAGTTTTCATTGGGATTTTCAACTACTGATTCTTAGAAGTATGAATAAAATCGTAAAACAGCTCGATCATATTTCAACCATGGTGGTTAAATTCTTGGAATATAATCATTTTCAGGTGGTTATCTACTACCATAAGTAAGATTTGGAGGTGTTCCCATTTTCATTGAGTCTAATAAATTTGGATCAAATTCTTCATGAATGAAATTTGTTTTTTCTTGCACAGTTCCATTGATATTTGAAAATTATTGAGTTTTATGATGATTTTCTTTGTAAGGGTCTGAAAATACATGTCCAGGAAGAAATGGCACTTGTTTTGGAAACTATGCATTCAAAGACATTTTATATTAATATTAATTATGAATATGTATAAATGGTTTGTTTAAGCAATTAAAAATTAACATTTATTGTTATCTAATTAAAGTCTATATTAACTTCATATTCTTCATAATTCTAATATTTATTGAAATATTGAAAAATTCATGTAATAAAAAATTGTATTTGATACCCACAGTTTATCTCAGATGTAAATGTTGATCCTTATTGAGATGTCCAGAAGAATAGAGGGAAAGCTACAATTTACTTGGATAGAAACTTTAAGAAGCAAAAGACTTTGAAGATAAATTGCATCATATGAATGATGAAGATCATGAATGGGAGAAATTGTAAATAGAATTGGATTGCACACCTCATAACATAAAGAATAGCAATTATATTATTGGTATTTAATTGAAAAATCAATTTAGTTAGACATGCTTTGGCTTGGCATAATTATTTTAAGAGAGCCACAGAATTCAAGAATAGAAATATTTATAGTTATGAATTAATGGATCCTCCTCTTCATTATTTAGGTAAAAAGTAATGCGAAAAAATGAGACCTGAAATCAATTTGATGGAATTTGATAAGGTTTATATTTCACCTCTATTAAGGTAATTAATTTTATAATTACTTTATAATAGAACTATACAAACAGCCTAATTATTATTTTAAGATCATCCTTAGAAAGATTAAATATAATTTATTCTATGTCCTCACATAAGTGAAAAAATCAGTAGTTAGTATTCAATCTATAAATGGGGAAATATAACAAATATTCTTTAAGATGTATTATAATTATTATCAATAGAATAATAATCCAATTAAATTTGATATAAGCGAATTACCATAAGAATTAGAGTTTTGGTAATTTATCTTAATTGGAAAATAAGAAAAAGTTTAAAGTTTAAAACCATGCAAAGAGGATTAAGAACAATATTTAGTTAATAAATTTGTCAAAAAAGGATAAAATATTACATTAGAAAATACAAATCATGCTGAAAATAGAGTGAAAATATTTTTAGAGAAATTAAAACAAAATTAGATAAATAAAAAAAAAATTGGAATTGTTTCTCATTCATAAATAATTAAAATATTATTAGCTTAGACAAATATAGTAATTGATACAAAAATAAGAAATGGATCAGTAATTGGGATTAATATTTGATATATATTCAAATTTTGTTTAAATAAATATGTTATATTTTTGATATTCTTTATATTTCAAATATAATTATTTTTTTAGATAATATCACATATATATTCTGACATTGGAATTGAACATGTCCATCCAGGAGATGCAACATTCAATAAATGAAAAGAATTTTTATCATGTTCAAAAATGAAATCTTATTCCATTTTTCTTTTTTCAGTATCAAATAATTAAGATCTAATACCTGGTTTTCCTCTATCAAAGTATTCATGTAATTAATTTTCTGGAATTTAATCAAGTTAAGTTGTGAGTTTTTTGGCTTCTTTAATCATATATGCTAAAATTTACAATAAGATAATACTTTTATTAATCTTTTTTAATTCATTTAAAAGACTTTAAGCATAGAATTTCATATCTTTGGAAATAACATTTTTCACATTTAAACTCAAAATTTCAGAAAACTCTGAAAAAACAAAATTATCTTTCCAATTATATTATTCTCTCCATAATGCAGGAAATATAGAAGGTCCAATTTTTAAATGACCATCTGTTGTTATTGTTGTATGAATTCCTAAAAAGTAATTTCCAGCTAAAGGTGGAACAGGATATATAATAGCATTTGCTTCTGGTATAGGTCTATTATTTATAAGATAACTCCCTTTAAATGGCCAAATAACATATTTTTTACAAAAATTAAATTATTTAGCTATTACATCTGCATATAATCCACCTGCATTTACAAAATATTTAGCTTAAACCAATTATTTTTAATTAGACATTTTCAATACATTAAACGTTGTTTATTAATCTTTATTTTCAATTAAATCAGTATATTTATGATTTGTAAATACTTGAACATTTTTACATTAATTAAGATCTTCATGAATACTTTTCATTAAACCTTTATTATCAGCAACACTTGTTGTTGGTGAATATAAAAATTAAAAATTTTTATCATTAACTTTTAGATACTTTTCTATTTTTAATGCTCTATCAACTTCCATAAGTTCTAATTCTACACCATTAATATCACCTTGTTTTTTAATTTAAGCTAATCTCTCATTCTCAGCAGAATTTCTTGCTACTAAGAATTTTCCTGTCTTTCTGATATTTACTTTATGATCTAAACAATATTAAGTTAAAGTCTTATTTCCTTCTTTACATAATGATGCTTTAACAGTATTAGATGCATAGTAAAATCCAGCATGTAAAACAGCACTATTTCTTGTTGATGTATGTAATCCTAAACCTGATTCTTTTTCAAAGAGTCCTATTTTATGATTTGGATATCTTGCTGATAATGATCTTGTTAACATTCCTCCTACTACACCTCCTCCTATTACAGCAATATCAAATGATATCATATTTATTAGGTTGAGTCTTAAGTTTATTATTGATAAAAATATATTCAATTCAATAATATTTCCAAAAAATAAAATATATTATAATAATATATATAATTCATAACTAATCATAGAATAACTCTTTAGGATTGAGAATCATTTTTAAGTTATTATTAATTATTTCCATGATTTGTGTGAAAATTACAAATAATTAGCATCATTTAGATATATCAATAATTGTATCTTAAGAGCTAGCTCTATATCTGATTAATGGAAGAGAAATTCTAACTTTTTATTCATCACAAACACTTTTTTTTCGAATTTCAAAATCATACTTCTTCTTTACATTTTTCAAATATGGATTTTCTGATTTTTTAAGTAATCGACGAAATTGTAAGAAACCATTTCCACCTATCCATTTATGAGCCAATATTTCCTACATTGATATCCTTTAATTATGTTTAGGTACAAATATTCTATTTATTAGATCTTTAGCATCATCTGAGACATTTAATTCATGTTAAAAATTACATTGAAGAATATTGTTGACTTTTTCTTCATTTGTTCTTCCTTTAAAAGGTAATTTACCATATAACAGACTATACATAATTACTCCCAATCCCCATACATCTACACAAGGACAAACAAACTTGAGTTTTCCATTAAGTACCTCAGGAGGCATATATGGGAGAGTTCCAACATTCATTGTTTCAGTTTCCCTTTAAGTTCCAGCTACTCCTGCTAATCCAAAATCTATTAATTTAACCTTACTTAAATATTATAAATACCAAAGTATTTCCTTAATTAACTAACATAATATTTTCTAATTTTAAATCTCTATGAATAAATGTTTTTGAATGACAAAAGAGTAAAGCTTCTACAATCTGTTTGATATATATCTTCACTTCCTATTCAGGTATTGTTCCTTTGTCTATTACAATAAAGATGATACTTACTTCTAATTAATTGTAATAGTGATCCACCATCTAAATATTCCATAATTATTATAGACTCTTTAGTCTTAGAAAAATAAAGAGTTTAATAGACTTTTACGATATTTCGATGTTGTAAGTCTTTCAAGATCTTAGATTCCCTTTTTATAATTGCGTCTTCTTCTTCAGTATCTCTTGTTATTTTTACAGCCACAAAGGATCCAATAAACTTATGTTTAGCCAATAAGACAGTTCCTTAACCTCCCTTACCAATTTCTGAAACAATCTCGTACTCTTAAAATATGATACTTGCATCCAAGTCCTAACCGAAGAGAGTGATATATAATTTATTTCCATCTAGAACAAATTGTAAATCTTGCTCTATCAATTCATGACCATTTTAATTAAAGATTCTGACTCGCTTAGGGATGATACTCCATCCTTAAATAATTTGGTTGCGAACATCATTAAAAGTAGTTTTAAAAGTTAGTGTCAATTTAAATGGAGGGAGATTTGGAGAGTAGACATTAACAATTCTACTTTTATCAAATTAAGTCTTCATTTTAATTTATCAATTTCTGTTGATGGGTCATTAATCTTTAAAAATACTTAATAAGAAATATCAAAATCTAAGAATAATAGTAAATTCTTTTGGAGAAATTACTTAAGCATTAGGATTTTCATTTTTATATTGATCAAATCATAATTTCAAACCAACAGAATGGAGTACATATTTTATTCTTAGGATTATTCTCTTGGCATTTATTTTAATATTTAAATTGAAATATTCTGTTTTTCAATTAAAACTTCAATGCTTCCTAAAATAGATATATATAATACTCTCAATATTATTATGGTATTTCTTCTTTGAAATTCTAAAATGGATAATTGTATAGACATTATCTCTATCGTTCATTTATGATTTTTCAACACTTAATACAAATGATTATCTCTTATTAACTTGTCTCCCTCTTCTTTACTTAATCTGGTTGATAAATAATATTTCATTTGTTCACGATTTGAAATTCATTTTCCTAATTCTTCTTAAATAGTATTTCATTTAGATTCCTGGTTTTTTTTAATTCATCCTCTAATTGTCTGCATTTCTCCTTTGCTTTATCATATTTTTTATTACAATTTTTCTAATACTCTAAATGAATGAACCTTAATAAGTCGATGCTCATGAACCACTCATATGCCATCTCTAGAACCCAATTCTAATCTTTCTTTAAATTATTAAACTAAAGAGGTGAGTTCTTTTTTCAAATTTATCTTATTCTTATTTCTAAATAGTTAAATTCAATGCCATTTCTAAATTCTACATAATATTAATTTATTCCTTTTTTTTTCATTTAACTAATAAACAATTCTTCTATTTTTCTCTAAAATCTTCTCTAATTATTCCTTATACTTCTCTTTAGATTTATTTAATTTGAGATATGATTGATTCTTGAGTTTAATTATAACGTAATTCTTCTGCTAATTCTTTCAATCTTGTAATTTTTTCTGTTTTTCTCTTTCAACTTGTTAATTTAATTTCTGAATATGCTGGACTATCTTATTTTTCAATTTGAATTCGCAGGCTTGCAAAAAAAAAAACATTAGATTTAAGAGCATAATGTCATTTTACATCTAACAATCATTTTAAGTTTTCCATCTAATTTAAAATGTTTTTTCGACATAATTGAAGTGTTTCAATAAACAATGCACTTGTATTTATCTTAGCTATAATTGAATGTACAATAAATTACTTATTTATTTTGTTTAATTCTTTAATTATGAATTATGGAATTTCTACATTTGAGCCAAAAGTTAGAGAATTCATTTATAATATATAAATTTTGATTATTTATAACCAATTATACATTCATTCTTATTTTTTTTCAGGTTCTGCTTCAACTTTATTATTTTCATAAGCCTTCTCAAATTCAGTTTTAAATCTTTCAACTTCATCTGCACTTGTAAATCTAACACACAATTGCCAAACTTTAGGTTATTCGTCTGATGCATCATAACATGTCCAAATCCATGATTTTTCAGCAGTTTTGAGTTATGATAATTTACAGAATCCTTCTTAAACTGTAATCATATGATTTGCAATCACTTTGCCAGTTTTATCTTATCTCATCAATAATCTTATTTTCTAAGTTTGCTTATTTTTCAAAAATTTCAAATCACCTACTCCCCTCTCCTAATATATGTTATTAAAATTAAAAAACCTTCCATTAACCATCTGCAAATCTGTACATCTTTGCTCTGAATTTTGCTACTTCTTCATCATCCTCTTCACCTGTTTTTACAGGTACTTAAGGAAGAGTTGCTTATCCTTAAAAGTCATTATCTCCTGGTTGTTCTGGATCATAGTCTTCTCCTACTTATTAATCATCATCTTCTGCGTGAGGGTCCATTATAATTTAAATTATTTAAATAATTTGAATAATAAAACAAAAAATAAGACTTCAATCTTCATCTTTATTTAAAATACGACATTCCTCATATTATTGATAGAATTTATCAAAATCTTCTTCACTTTCTAATTTAACACTAAATTATTCTAACTTAGTTTCCCCATCACTATGATCCTATCCTATCCATTCATATCCAAATTGATGAAACATACTCTTAACAATAGTTTCTGAAACTAAATGATTAGCTCTAATAAAATAAGTAGCATCTTATCTCATTAATATTCTACACTTATTAGTTTCTTAATGTTTTAAGAATTTTAAGATACCTTAACCTCTTTACTTTAAATTATATAATTAATTTTTACTTTCCATTCTTCATTTCTAAAACGATAAAGCTTACATTTGAAGGTCATCAATAATTCGAAATCTTCTTCTCCTGTTTTGATTGCAACAGGTAATAATTTTGGTGGACCAACATAAGGAATAATTTCCTCTTCTGGATCTTCAGGAATAGGTGGTTCTGCTGGATCAAGACTCATTTTATTTTAAACAAATTTAAATTGTTTAAAAATTGTAATAAATTAAAGAATTTATAGTATAAAACACAATAGAATTTATTAGTTTAAAATAATTTTTTTATTTTAATCTATAAAATTAAAATATTAAATTTATATTATATATGTTTATTAAAATTAAAAAGTATTTGAAATATATATATTTATCAAAATATAATAATATTTCTAATGAAAATATGAATTATGAATCAAGTATGTCTACCATTAACCCATTCTCCTTCTAAACTTTCTCTACCTTAATTTGATAAAACACATCCTTTTCCATGAAATACTCCCTTCCTAAAAGTACCATAAAATACAAAATATGAATCATAACAATCTATAAATTGCATTTAACCAATTCCTTCAATTTCTCCATTTACAAAATTGCCACTATATGTTTCTCTATTTCTAGCTACATTTGAAAAATTCATAAAGTTCTTTAATTGCAATTTCTATGATTTAGATTCTCTAAACATAAGTTTACCCTTTCCCCAAAAAACATCATCTTTCCATTAACCTGTGTATATTATTTTTCCATCTTTATCAAATAAAGTCCCTATTCCTTATTTTCTACCTCTTTCATCTGTCTATCCTTCATATAAGGCTTCTTCACCCATATATGTGATTTTTTTGGTAATCGTTGTTTTTTTATTAATATCATATGTAGTTTATTTGTTATTAATTTATGATTAGAAACTCTAATCTCTTTTATTTGAAGATTAAGTATTTTTGCTTGCTTTAGTATTTCTTTCATGTTCTTCCAAAATCTTTTTACTAATTAGAATTCTCTCTTAAGAATTATCGTATTTGTTCAAGAAATAACTTTTATAATTTCCATTTCGTTTTGGTGTAACTGGACAATTAGATTCATCTTGCGAAGTATTTGTATGCTATTTCTTTGTATTATTTCCATTTTGATTCTATTTTGGTGGTAATGACTTCTAAATCTAGCTAATTCTGCTATCAATCATTTCAATTTTTTTGTTAATTGTTTCAATCATATTATCTGTTACTCTTGATTTATCTGGACTAGGAACTTAAACTGGAATTTATGATCTAATTTGTGGTTAAACTGATGTAGGTGGCTATATCAAAAGTATGTCTTACTCTAATGAAAGGTAGGCTTTAATAAACAGGGAGTGTTTACTAAACTATATAAACTTAGGGTTGCTGGTATACAATAAACATAATAAAATATAATAAAATTTTATTTTATTTGATTATTCTCATTCATATCATTAAGCTGGTAATTGTGATAATAAATCCAAAGCACTTTATACGATGCTAATTTCTTCAGAAATATGTGATCTTTTGCTTGTATAACTTGTATTTTCATTGTCTTGAGCAATTCTTGTTTAATCAAGCAATTCCTTTGAAGTTTCAATAAGTTCTTATAATTCTTATTATCTTCTCTTAGCAGATGCCTATTATATAATTTCCAATTAATTTTACTAGATCATTGTCTTTAGCAGTTGCTTGTCTTTAATTGAATTATTTGTCCTTATCTAAATTACTATAAGTGGTTTCAAATTGGCTTCTTAATGTTTGATATTATTGTTCTGAATTATTTGAAGAAGTATTTATAGAATCTAATCTTTCTTGGACATTTTATGCAATTCCTTCTAATTTAGTAATAACTCTTCTTATAGTGTTATCATCATATTATGATGTCATTTAAATCATTAGAGAAATTGGATGTCTATCTCCCAAAGATTGTTTTGCTGCTTCTATTGCTCTTTCTCTCTCAATTAAACTAGTATTTCCCAAAAGAGTGTCACTTAAAAATCTTAATACTTCCTAAACTGCTGCCAAATATCTAGAATTATTGTTTAATTTCTCTTCTGCTGCTCTTACTTCTTCTTAATGATTATCACTTAATTATGTAATTTAATTGGATAGCAATAAAAGTTATTAACCTTAAAAACTTAAAGATTGAGTAAGTGAAGATAGATCAGAAGTTAAATCATTTATTTATTGATTAACTGAACTCAATTCGCTTTCAGTTGTTTCTAAGGTATTTTCCAATTTAGAAATTTATTATTCATAATTAGCTTGTTACTAAATAATTTAGAAATAGTATTACAGCAGAATGTTCAGCTTCATTAGCCCCAGATGCAGCTATGAGCTTATCTAACATTGATTAAACAATTGTGACAACTTCACCCAATTTACTTGATTAATGTAATTCAAGCATCCCATAAAAATAATCGCTAAAAGGAGTGATTCTTGTTTTCTGAAACATAGTATATATTTATTACTTCTCTTAATTGCTTTATCGCTGTGAGATGAGTTTCTGTAGTAGCTGATATTGCAATCAATACCAATAAAATTGCTATTCTCATTTATTATATTAATTAAAAAACGACTTCATTTCTTTTTTTGCTACTTAATTTTATATATAAAAATATAGTCATTATATGTAACACATATATTGTTANAATAAAATATAATAAAATTTTATTTTATTTGATTATTCTCATTCATATCATTAAGCTGGTAATTGTGATAATAAATCCAAAGCACTTTATACGATGCTAATTTCTTCAGAAATATGTGATCTTTTGCTTGTATAACTTGTATTTTCATTGTCTTGAGCAATTCTTGTTTAATCAAGCAATTCCTTTGAAGTTTCAATAAGTTCTTATAATTCTTATTATCTTCTCTTAGCAGATGCCTATTATATAATTTCCAATTAATTTTACTAGATCATTGTCTTTAGCAGTTGCTTGTCTTTAATTGAATTATTTGTCCTTATCTAAATTACTATAAGTGGTTTCAAATTGGCTTCTTAATGTTTGATATTATTGTTCTGAATTATTTGAAGAAGTATTTATAGAATCTAATCTTTCTTGGACATTTTATGCAATTCCTTCTAATTTAGTAATAACTCTTCTTATAGTGTTATCATCATATTATGATGTCATTTAAATCATTAGAGAAATTGGATGTCTATCTCCCAAAGATTGTTTTGCTGCTTCTATTGCTCTTTCTCTCTCAATTAAACTAGTATTTCCCAAAAGAGTGTCACTTAAAAATCTTAATACTTCCTAAACTGCTGCCAAATATCTAGAATTATTGTTTAATTTCTCTTCTGCTGCTCTTACTTCTTCTTAATGATTATCACTTAATTATGTAATTTAATTGGATAGCAATAAAAGTTATTAACCTTAAAAACTTAAAGATTGAGTAAGTGAAGATAGATCAGAAGTTAAATCATTTATTTATTGATTAACTGAACTCAATTCGCTTTCAGTTGTTTCTAAGGTATTTTCCAATTTAGAAATTTATTATTCATAATTAGCTTGTTACTAAATAATTTAGAAATAGTATTACAGCAGAATGTTCAGCTTCATTAGCCCCAGATGCAGCTATGAGCTTATCTAACATTGATTAAACAATTGTGACAACTTCACCCAATTTACTTGATTAATGTAATTCAAGCATCCCATAAAAATAATCGCTAAAAGGAGTGATTCTTGTTTTCTGAAACATAGTATATATTTATTACTTCTCTTAATTGCTTTATCGCTGTGAGATGAGTTTCTGTAGTAGCTGATATTGCAATCAATACCAATAAAATTGCTATTCTCATTTATTATATTAATTAAAAAACGACTTCATTTCTTTTTTTGCTACTTAATTTTATATATAAAAATATAGTCATTATATGTAACACATATATTGTTATACACTAAATTAATCCATATAATTTTTGTTTGTACAATTAATGGAGTTATTTTAACTAATATTCTTTAACTGTAGATGGTTTTTTTAACATAAGAGTATAAATACTAAATTGATTAGTAATATAAATATCACTTAAATTCTCTCACAACAGCAATTTTATCTTTGGTTTTTCAAATTATTATACTTATTAAAATTTTCGTTATCTATAGTAGTGTAATTCCTCTTATGATTTTAATTAATATTCTGTGTTAACTAAATTTTATTCTTTTTACCATAAAATTAATATTTTTTTGAAGAATCCTCAGAAGATTCTGGACTTTATTAATCAGATTAGATTAATAATGATAAATTTAGCTATATAATCTCAAGTATTTTAAAATATATATGTCCATTTAATTATAAAATCATAAAAATAGATATAATTAGATTGAAAAACACTGAAGATCTTTTTTGAAAGTAAGATAATATTAAAAAGTTGATTATGAAGATTTTTTATGCTTATATTTTTCATATCTAAATGAATTTTTATCATTTACCTTTATCCCAGATTTACAAAAACATTTAAAGTCTTAACTATTTAAAGCATTTTTTAATTTAAATTCATGATTTATTTTTTAAGAACCTAATATTAATGCTTTCGGTGACCTTAGCGAATTGAATTTTCTCTTAAACTTTCTTTAATGAAACAAAAAATGACTTGAATATAACAAGATGATGTTTATTATATTTATAAATTAATTTAATAATATTAAATGATAATTACATGTAAAAAAATTACACTTATTCTGTTTAAGCTGATTGGTAGGATACTATGAAACTAGTTGAAATATCTAAATCAAACAAGGAGATATTGAATATAATCTCTCATTTTTTTATATTTTATAGAGATTTCAAAAGCAGAACAAATTTAATTGGATCCATTAGTAAACAATCATCCCATTAAATCATTTGTTTAGTAAGTAAATGATAAGATCATTAGAAGAATGTCCTTCTATTTAGTTAAATTTTACTGCATAGAGAATTTAACATCTATTATTTTATTATTATTTTCTGTATTTAATTTAGAAGACAGAAGTGATTTTAATTAATTTAATGTAGTTGTAATAAAACAACTAGTTCATCTAATTTGCAAGATAATTGTTAGAACAACAATCCTCATCAAGTCCAGAATTGGATGAACATAAAGACTCTTCTTTAGACATGAGTTAGTTAATTAAGTTGTAACACACTATTCATGACAATATTTTAATCTCTCCTGAACCATCAAAAAAGAAGGGTTCCATTCTTTTACCCTCTGATGATCCTTGCAATTGTAGCAGATCTGGGTGTAGAAAAATGTATTGTGAATGTCTTGCCAAAGGAAGACTATGTTCTTCATTTTGTAGTTTTCATATTTCTATTTAATAGGCAGATGCTAAAATTGCCATAACAAGACTTCAAACAAACTAGTTTTAAATGTCATCGAAGAACTAGATCAAAATAGAAATAGAAAACGATTTAGATCTAGAAGATTTAAGGATGTAATTCATTTCATTAATTATAGGGATGTACATGCTAAAAGTCAATGTGTTTGAAAAAATATTGTGAATGCTTCAATTCTGGCAAAAGTTGTGGTTCTGGTTGTAAATGTGTGAATTGTGAAAATTATGTTCTTGACGAAGTCGAAAAAATTATTTGTACACCAAATTAAAAGAAAACATCAAAATTTTCATCTAAATTCGAAAGTGCTAATACTAATACTAGATCGGATTATTATGGATTAGTCTTAGAGAAACTAAATCTAGAAGAGTTCGAAGAATCAGAGGAGTGTATTCATATTTCTTATTATATAGAATTAGACAAGATGAATACCATTGTTATAATGATATTAGGTTAGTTAATCATTTGATTTATTTGTTGACTTCATATATAATTATTAATTATTATTTATGGGACAAGTCTGCTATAGAGATTATAATGAATCACAATTACTCAATTCCACAGATGCCAAAAAACCTGAATCTATTCAAGGATCTATGATCAAATCTAATCGTAATTACATAATCAAATAAGAGCTAGCGGAGAGTGTATACAAACCCAAAATGTTTTAGATATATAGGATGATCCTGAATTTTAAATGGAAAATGATGAATTTCTCCGACTTTCAAATGTATTCCATATTTTTATATAAACCAAGAAAAATACACAAGAAATGGATATTGGAAATAAAATAAATGAAAAAGACCCAAACTCTGCTCCTTCATCGAAAGTTAACATTGATAGTTTTAGATTGCTGAAAGTTTTGGGTAAAGGTTCTTTTGGTAAAGTAATGCTTGTTTAATACAAATCTAATGGTATCTTTGAAGTAATTTCTAGGTAAGTATTACGCAATGAAAGTTCTTTAAAAAAAAAATATATAAAATGAACGATAAAAGAGACATACTGAAACAGAGAGAATCATTTTAGCCAATTGTTCTAGTCCCTTCATAGTAAAATTGAGATATGCATTTTAATCACCCTACAAATTATATTTGGTTGTTGATTACTTACCAGGGGGTGAACTCTTCTTCCATTTAAGAAAAGTGGTCAGATTTGATGAAATAATAGCTAAATTTTATGCTGCTGAAATTCTTTTAGGCTTATAATATTTGCATGAAATTAATATCATTTATAGAGATCTAAAGCCAGAAAATATTTTATTAGATGATAAAGGTCATATTCGATTGACTGATTTTGGATTATCTAAGATTATGTTAGATAATGATAAAACAGCTTTTAGTCTATGTGGAACTCCTGAATATTTAGCACCTGAAATATTAACTGCAAGTAATTATACATAATGATTAGAAACTGGATATGATAAGACATGTGATTGGTGGAGTTTTGGTGCCTTACTTTATGAAATGTTAGTTGGATCTCCTCCTCATTATAGGGATAATAAAAAGGAAATGATAAGAAAAATATTGACTCAACCTATTCCATATCCATCATTTCTATCTGAATCAGCCAAATAATTATTATAATAATTGTTGGTTATTGATGTATTTAGAAAACACAATTATATTAGCCTAAAAAGAGATTAGGATTTGAATAGGATGGATATGAAATCATGTAACATAGTTTCTTTGAATCAATCAATTTCCAAGAAATGGCTATTTAAAAAGTATATTAAAATTATGAAATAGATAAAACCTCCTTATGAATTTGACAAAAAAGAATTGAAATATTTTGATGAGGGATTAACAAAATAAATTGCAAAAGACACTCCAGTAAATGGAACTCTAATGCCAAACTAAAATTTTTCGAATTTCACCTATTAACCAAGCGTTGCAAAATGAAAATCATTAATTTTTTTTACATATTAAAATCAAATAAGTAATATTTATATAATAATTATTTTACATGAACTTTAATATTAGCAATAGACTTAGACCATAGACTGCTTATTCAATGTCATAAAAAGATGTATTCTAATCTTAGTAATTTTCAGCTAATGTCTGGTAAATTTTCATAAAATGATCACTAACTTATTAATAAATTGTTAGATAAAAATGCTGCCTACTTTGATCATGTACAAGGTAAAGTCTATTCATAATTTATAGATCAATGTATTTGTGGATTATGTATATGTGGTGGATGCAAGTGTGGATTAGAAAGATTAAAAGAATAATAAGGAATGGCTATGAAATCATAGTATCAACAAGACTATGTTGAAAAATAACCATTAAGAAATAAATCAATTTCACAATTACCAACTTATAAAGATGATTATACTATGAAATTTGAAACTACTTAAAGAGTAATTAAAAACAGTTATCTTAGCTTGATTTCAAAGATCCAAAATAGAGACCATAAACTTCCTATAAACCAGAACAACCTAGATTTGTATAACCTTTTCATGCTGGCTCTACTTATTAATTGACTCATACTAAAATGCCTGAAAGTGAATGAATTTGTATATTATTAGATGAGAAGGTGAATATAATACCTTAAAATCATCCAACAGTTATGAAAGATCTCAAATTCTTAGGATCAAGTGAATATAAAAGAAATTTCAGCGGAACACCAATTACTAAAGAAAGAAACCTCATATTTGGAGCTCATAGCAGTTTTGGGTAATTAAATTAATAAGATGGTCAAGAAATCCCATAAATCCAGGATTGCCCTTTTTTGGATCGACTACTTCATCTAGAGCCTTTAAGCCTTTTAAGGCAAAGAAAACTAGACCTACAAAATCTACCACTTAAATCTAAAGTGTACCAACATTTGATGGTTAATTTTCAACAATAACAAAATTGGATTTTGGTGATAAATCTCTTTAGATTTGTCCTGCAAAAGTGATTCTTAATTCAAAAAAAAACTCTAATCGTTCTGGGTTTTGAATAACATAATATATCAAAAATTGATATTTTACTTATTCTATTTTAATATAATAATTTTATTCAAAAATTCAAATTTCTTCATCTTTGTCATTATAAAAGTCACAGAACAATTAATAAATACTCTATGGAGTATATTAACCTTAATTAGTGATATATAAACTAATGCATTCAGGAGGAATATAGCCAAAACAATTAAAATTAAAAATTCTCCGATTCTTATCTGATCTATAGTTGAATTTGGATTGATCCTCAATAGAAATGTAAGTTAATTGATGGTATAAGTTACTACTCCATAAACAAATGACTATGATTGGCACACTTAAGTTTAGGAAAAATCAGTTATTTTTTTTTATGTATCTTATCAATCGGATCCAACTCAGTTCTTCTAAACATTGATAAGATATTTTGAATGACGAGAATTCCTCCTTATTCAAATTGGCCTACCTACTCTCTCAAAGTTCTTTTTGATCTTTCCTAAATAGTTCATCATCTTTTTAAACTCAAAAGCATGGAATCAAATTGCTGAAGGCTAGCCCAATCACGAAATCTAGAACTTATTGTGTCTACAAAGGTTGAAGTCTTAACTAATTCGATAATTATATGTTCCTTTCTCTATAATTTTATTCCTACTTATATTCCCTTCTGTATTTTCTGAATATATTATTATTAGAGTTCCAACTAAAAAGAATATATGGCCATCATCCATCAGTGGGCTAATAGTGTCATAGGTAGTCTGAGATTATTATCCTCTTAATATGACCCACTTCAAATATAATTCATGATTTCTCTTTACATCAGTATAACCATTCAATTCCAAAATTAACTTTTTTCATCTTTTAAACTGAAGGTTTGTTTACCTGAATTTTTTTATTTTTGAAAAGGTCATTTCAATATTAAATATAGTCTTCCTTATCCCATTCAAATTATTCTGGTAATATTTTAGCTCTTACTCCAATATCATTCTTATTTGTTACTTAACCTTTCCTAATAGCGTTTTGCAGACCTTGATGTAGTGACTCAGCATAAGCATATTTTGTATGATATTATTGAGAGATTAAGCAACAAACTCAACATTTTATGTTGCTTAAACAGTTTCTTTATAAGATAAAATTGGATTAGATCAAATTATTTAAATTTTGCAAAATCATTCACTAAATAATTCAAGCAAATATCTAAATGTAATTCTCCACAACCTGCTAATGTAAGCACTCTTGTCTTTTCAGATTTACAATTCGTTAATTGATCGGATTAGAATAATCTCTTCAAACACTCTTATAATATAGTTTAAGGTCAAACAGGCACTTTTATTAATGGTAAAACTAAATAATTCGTTGATCTGATTAGATAAGATTCTGGGTGATCCGATATATATTAAATAATTATTTTTCTGTACCCCTCCTTAATAAGACAACATCCTAATCATAAAATATAACCACAAGAAACATCTGATATGTATTATGCTTAATTGGATATCATCAGTATTTTATTTGAATAGTCTTTAAACAATTATACTTTTTCTTACAGTACCTGAAAATATTCTACCAAAAAAAAAAATCTACTTTTTTCAGAATTTGTTCTTGATACGATTAAGAAATTTGTTAAAAAACTCCTTACAAATTCAATAATGCCACTTATAATTTCAAATTTAATTTAATACTAACATTTCAGTTTTTTTGAATACAATTTAGCTGAATGATACATATTAAGGGTCCCTTAAAATCACATTCTCTCATAAATTAAGGTATGGTATTATTTAAAGGACATTCAAACAAATAGGATGTTCTATTCTTTTATACCTCTATAGATGAAGGAAAATTGCAAATAATCATTTCAATCAAAATATCAGCCTCATTAATCCACTTTGACATGACAGCTTATATTTTCCTGTATTACCATTGTTTATCTTTCGCCAACATAGAAAAATTTCAAATATGTTTTGCAATATCAAAAAACTTCTACTTCAAAAAAATTAGAAATTCAATAGTATCTAAAAAATTCCAAAAAATATAATGACTGAAATCTCAGGTCTTCTCTTAATTAAAATTTTTCATAGCATATATTGAAGATTAAATTTATAGAAAGTGGATACCTTAAAAATAAGATGATTAAATATTAAATATCTAGAAAAATTATTGAAAAATATCTTATATAATTAAGAAATTTATAAAAATTATAAATGACACTCTTCGCTTTTTTAGTAATTGAGATTAGTTTTGGCTTTAGTGTTTTGAAAATGGATTAATGTTCTGAATGCTCAAAACTTATCAGAAAATAGGATTGTGAATATGGGAATTGTATTTGGAGTACGAATAATGAGAGTATAGAGGGGATATGTATTGATAACGGTTCGAATGTGGATTAAGGAAATTCTAGTGGATAAGCTGATTATTGCAAGAGTATATTAAATCCAGCACAAAATTGTTCCAAAGTAAAAGGTTGTGCTTACTTTAATTCAAGCTGCACATTTTTTACAGGTTGCTCTGCATATTTTTTCCATACAACCTTCGATTGTCAATAAATATCGTTATACTGTATATCTGAAGGAGATGGATGTATAGATGCAAAAAAATGTGAAGAATATTTGACTTAGGATATTTGTGAAAATTCAGGAAGTTCGAGTGGTAAATGATGTGAATTAACTAAAAATAGGATCTGGTCATTGCAAATGGGATTCTGGAAATTCGAAATGTAGGGATGAATTATGTAGTGAAGCAGGAATAGGGTTGACTACTGATTAGGAATGTTCTAAATTTAAGTTTGGTTGCATCACAAAAGGATAAGGATGTACAGAGAGTCCTTTAAAGGAATGTAAGACATATGAAAGTTCAGGGCAAGATTGTAGCAAATTAATTGGATTAGATGGACCATGCGAATTGTTGTAAGGTAGTTAATTTTGTTAACAAAAAAAATGTGAAACTGCTCCTATTACTCATACAAAAGATAAACAATGTGATTAGTATTTGAAGGGATGTGTCAGTACAGGAAGGGGATGTGTAGAAAAGTTATGGCCATGTAATACTTATAATAAAGATTGTACAAGTTATGTAGGATCAGATGGAATTTGTGAAAATGAGGAGAAGTCAGAGAATTGTAGAAGTAGAATTTGTGAAAATGGATTATTTAATTCAGATGAGGATTGTAATCAGTATAAAATTGGTTGTGTTACCAATGGAAAATCATGTGTAACTACTTTGCAAAATTGTTCAAGTTATAAGGGAAATAAAAATACTTGTTTGGGATTTATAGGTTTAGAGGGGATGTGCAAAGGAATAGATGATAATGAACAGTCATGTTCTGTTATGGATTGCGTTGAAGATAGTGATAGTAAATATGTGACAGATGAATAATGCTAAAAAATATAGAAACTATGTAAGACAAATGGAATGGGATGTGTGTATAATTTGAAATTATGTAATGAATATGATGGTAGCGCTGAGACATGTTTTTAAATGATTGGATCTGATGGAAAATGCATAGGGGGTACAGATGGAAAATGTTAAAGGAGATCTTGTTAGGATGCTCCAAGTACATATAATACAGATTACGAATGTAAGAATTTTTAATCAGGGTGTGTAACAAATAGCAATGGATGTATAAATTAAACAAGTTGTTAATTAACTCTTAAAGAGGTCAGTTGCTTAGGAACTGCTGGATGTTAATGGAATTCATCTTGTGTAGATTCTACAAAATGCTCTAATTTTAATACTCAAGTTATATGTGAAAATAATTCAGCCATAAATTACTCATCTGCAGATGGGATTACTACTTATTATTACACAAAATGTTCATGGAAGAATAATTATTGTTAAAATTTATCATGTTCTGATTTGAATGGGGATAAGTATGATTCTGATTAAGCATGTTAACAAGTAATGTCAAATTGTGTCTATAGTGGTTATGGATGTGTAGATAGATAGAGCGATTGTTCACTATTCAAAGGAAGTTAGAATAGATGTGCATTATATGCCAATAAATGCTGGAATGATTAATATGCAACAGAGACATCCCCTTGCAGGAGTAGATTGTGTTCTGATAACATTATATTCACAACAGATGAAGAATGTGCCTACTTTTAAAAAGGATGCAGAACTAATGGTAAAGGATGCATTGAAGATACAAAATTATGCTCTGACTATTAGGGAACACAAGCATAGTGCAATAAATTTACAGGATTCATTTCAAATAGTTCAGAAAGATAATAGTGTTACAACACAATTGGAGCCACAATTACTACTAATTGTATTGTCAAAACTTGTGATATGGCAGTTGGATTAACTAATAATACAGATTGTACTAAATTTTTAAAAGGCTGCATATGGAATGGTTTGAGTTCTTGTGTGAAAGAGACTTCTGATTGTACAGCCTTTTATGGCACTTAATAATTGTGCAATACATTTATTGGCAATAATCAAAAGTGTTATGGTTTAAACACAAACAATGCATATTCTCAATGCAAGATTAAATAATGTGTTGATAACAATACTCCTGGACTTACTGATAAATAATGTAATGATTTTCTAGAAGGTTGTGTTTCCAATGGAATTGGTTGCACACCAAAAGAAACAACATGTGATTAATTCTCTGGTACATCTGATACTTGTTCAAAATTCTTAGGAAATGGTTAGAAATGTACTAGAATGAGTAATTGTACTACAAGATTATGTTCAGATTATACTAATCCTACCAAACATGAAGATTGTTATAATTATCATTCTAAGTGTCGATTCGTGAATACATAAACTTCCTGTATTGATCAAACTATATGTAATAATTATGTTGCTTAAGGAAATAATAATACTGAAAAAACTGCTTATTGTAGAGCCCTTAAAGATGATTCTAATTTTATTTGCAGTTATTAAACAGGAGATATTAATTGTAGTAATTATAGTTGTGAACAAATAATGACCAAGTTAGAATGTGAATCTTACACAAGTACTAAATTGTGTTATTATATCAATAATATGTGTGTTTCAACTAAAGATTGTTCTACAATAATCATAGATAATACATCTGCCAATAAACCTACTACAAATTCAACTAAATTAACTTGGTGTAATTAATACAAAGATATCAATAATAAATAATGCTCATATCATTCTACTTTAAGTTCCTCTAAATGTTCAAATTTTATTTTATGTGAACAAGTAGTTTCAGCTACAAGTTCTGCTGATTGTAATAGAATACTCTATTAAGATCCTGATACTAAAAATAAAGGTTGTTTGTATTATAGTAATCAATGTTATACACTAAAACCATTATGTTCAGATTATTTTGCTATTGGTAATAATAATACAGAAAAATCAGCATTTTGTTAAGCTATGAAATTAAATACTTCAGTTGGTACAGATAATACAAAGGTTATTTAATGTTAATATGTAAATGGAGACTCTAATTGTTCATCAGCAACTTGCGAAAGTGTTTCAGTTGCTAATAACTAAATAGATTGTGATAAATAGGCCCTTAATTGTGTCTATTTTCAAAGTAAATGTTATACTAAATAAAATGCATGTACTTCATACAGTACATCTACAGTATCTTCAAATAAACCCATATTTTGTTCATATATGAAGAATTCTTCAGGAGAACATTGTGGATACATTGATGGTATGAATAATTGTATAAATTCTTCTTCTGATTGCAAATTATATCGATGGGCTAGTTATAATAGTAATCCTTCTCCATCACCTATTCCATCAACAAATTCAAGCAAAAGAACATATTGTTAATAGAGAAGATCATCTTAAGGTAGATTATGTGGATATATTTATGGTGATTCTTATTGTACTTTAGAAACAAATTATTGTGAATTAATTTAATCTCCCTCATCCTAATTAAGTTGTGATCTGTAAGCAATTGGATGTACTTATATTTAATCACTTTCTATTTGTGCTACTACATCAAGATTAACTACTTGTAATGATATTACATTTGATGATCAAATATTAACAACTGATGCTGATAAATTAAATTATTGTAAATAAGTAAAAAATTATTATGGATATTGTACTTGGATGTCAGGTAGTGGATATTGTGATGATCTTACATCAGCATGTACATCAATTAGCATAAGTTCAATTTCAAATGATGATGATAAAAAAACATATTGTTTAAGTAGAATGAGTAAAGCAGGGAGTTGTGCTTGGAGAAAAGGAGACACTAGCAGTGCTTGTAGATCCTTTTCTTGTTTTGACATCATCAATCCTGTAAACTAAGCTACTTGTGATAGTGTAATGAGTGGTTGCACTTATTATTAAAAATAATGTATTACATCATAAGCTAATTGTAATACATATTATGCAGATGGTGAAGATGATGATAAGAAATTGTATTATTGTTCAGGATTATCTTAAACAACTAGTAATTTACAATGTACTTATATAAAAGGAAGTTCATTTTGCACAGTTAAAACTAATACATGTGCATCTTATACTGTAAGTGCATTAAGTAATGCTGATAAATTAACTTGGTGTTATTTATTAAAAGATTTATCATCAAATATTTGTGCTTATTCAAATGGAGATAGTGCTTGTAAATAAATAACTTGTGAATTGATTATAAGTCCTTAATCATAAAATGATTGCAATTCATATTTATCAGGATGTCAATTTTACAAAGGTTATTGTTACACTAAGCCAACAAATTGTGGTTCATATTCAATACCTTCTACAATTACAGATAATGTAGCATTCTGTACTAACTTCAAAAACACATCTAATTAATATTGTGGATATGTTAGTGGAAGTACATGTGCAGCATAAAGTAGTTGTACTTTAATAACTGCAGTTGGAGTAACAACAACTTTAAAATAGTAGTATTGTTAAGCAAGAAAATCTTAGGATGGTTATGTTTGTACTTATATAAGTGGAACTTATTGTTCATAAGTGGGTACAAGTTTAAGTTGTACATATATCACAGG